CACTCTCCCATCTTCCGGGGGGGGATGAAGGGCTGGTCCAGCCCCCGCCGCATTTTGGCCTCCTCTCCTCCAAAGTAAAACTCTGCTCCAGCACGTTCAGGTCTGGCTCATCCCGATAGAAACAGCTGGCAGAGAACTCCACAATTAGCCTGTCCTGGAATCTGAAAGTTTATTTTTAAAAGTTGTTATACACAGTCTCCTTTGGCTCTCGGGGGTCGTTCCAGCAGAAGGTTTTTCTACAAGAAAGAGCAGGAAGGCCTGAAAAATATTACCACTAAATATTGCTGGGAAAAAAAAAAAAAATTAAAAATACCTCATTTCCCATCCCCTCCCCCTTCTTGACACGTCTGGTATTACCTCACTATCAGAAGCAGAAACCCAAGAGCATCTCCCACATCCTGAACTCCTTCCCAGCCCCTCCAGCACACGTGCAATCACTCATCAAATGCCCCACGGCGTTGTCTCCCCTTCAAAAAAGCCCCCTTTTCCTCACAGCTGGGGGCCAGAAGAGAAAATACGATTTTTTTTGCAGCCCTCTTTAAATGATATTGACTACCCCGGGAACTGCAGGGGGGGGAGAAAAAAAAAAAAAAAAAAAAAAAAAAAAGGTGAAAAAATAGGTGGGGGGTAAAGATTAAGCCACCTTGTAAAGCTGCCAGTATCCTAATGGAAAGGTTTGCAGAAAGAATGGTGCTCCCCGGACTGCATCCCCCCCTGAGCCCCCCCCCTCCCAGCTCCAGGTACCAGACGCAGGAAAAAGAAAGGGGGAAAAAAAATAATAAAAAAGAACAAAACAAAATAACAAGCAAAACAAACAAACAAAAAAAAAAACAGAAAAGAAAAATCTTTGAAATAATGCTCCTAATCTCTTTTACCAAAGAAAGATAGTAGCCTACACCTACAAATTCAGCTTTGCTGTAAATTGATTAAATATTTATAAGTAAAATAAAAACTTGTATTTGGCATAGATTATTCAGCAGTTTTGTCCAGACCACAGAGAAATCCAAAGCAGAAATGGAAAACTTTCTAGCATATCACCTTCAAATTTTACAGGATTCACACCAGAACTTTTTTCTGCAATTGCATGCTTGAATAGCTTTATAAGAAAAAAAAAAAAAAAATCGGCAGACTGGGTTTATGCAGCCTTACGTCATGAATAACATGCTCCTATCGCCCCATCTGTGACCTATTCAGCACAGTTACTAATCCCCACGCTAAGACCACTTCGCTGTTCCTGTACATTTCGGAGTTGGAGACCAACCAGAAAGCAGAAAATGGAGCCCATACGCCAGCGCTATATAAAGCAGCCTCGCAAAGTTGCCGCCAATATATATATATATTCTACCTGCCGTGGCAAGACAAAAAAAAAAAGGGAAAAGCAACAAAAAAAAAAAATTGGGGGGGGGAGACCATTTATTTCACGACGGATAATTAAAAATATATACATAGGGTTTACTTACTTATTCAGGGGGACTGCCAAAAGCTAGCAGGGGTTTTACAAGCCCGATACGAAGCAAGTCAACTTCTCCTACCAAACTGCTCGTACCTGCTCCCTAAGCGCGTAAAACATCTTGTTTTCCACGCCACCACGCCAAGATCCCCCCCAAAAAACCCGCTGCCTGGAGCGCGGCATCGCATCCCTGCGAACCGCGGAGGGGAAAGGAGGGGGGAGAAGGGGGGGGG